ATATATATATATATAGCTAGCTGAAACCATAACGATATTGGCCCTGCAATGCAGCAATGTTTTTTGAATGACCACAGCAGTTTTGTTCAGGTATGCCAACTTTTCAGAGAGTTTGAAAACCCCAAATTGTACTTGATGTGGTCAATTATTTGTTTTGATTTGTTGTTGTACTCCTAGTGTGAATAGGCCTTAATTCAGAAATGTTTCCAACTCACTGTCTCAGAAAATTTATTTCCATTCGGTAAACATTGTAGCTTTCCCTTAAATACTGGAACTCCTCTGTATACTTTATTGTATTTTTTGACAAATGTATTAACCATAAATGTATAACCATACATTTTTATATGACAACAAACGGTACTATAATATAATTACAATTCAAGGATGGAATACAGCAATTAAATAAATTTTTGCTTGGTTTTACAGCAATTACCAGCTCATATGGTTCAGCTTATAAATCAACAAAAAATTCAACAAAAAATATGTTCTCTGGACCTAACATTACAAATATAGGTCAGTGAACATCATGTAACTCAGCACATGACCTAAATCAAAGTCACAGACTGCACAGAGAGATTCCTGAGAGGAAATTCAATTCAATACTTCAGTAATAGAGTGCCTTGTATACATATGGTTACTGACAATATATAGACATGGCACATAAAGTTACTGCAACTGACAAAAGGCACAAAATATGAGGGATGAAATACTCTAGCAGTCCCTCAACATATTCTACTAAAATAAGATTTGACACTGAGTGTACCAAGTCTCCCTGGATTGATTTGTTTTAGATATGAATTGTCGTGTCCAGTGCAAGAGTGGACCAAGAGAAGAGGAAAAACACACAGTATAGCTTGACACAAGGGAGACAATCACCTGAGAATATTGTTGAGGCACACTTAATGGGACCTGTGATGCCATAGTGACTGGTTGAATGAAAGTCTGTGCCACTGGAATGTTAGGAGCCCCACCACCACTTTGGCCCATGGAAATGCCAGATATCCCACCATTCTGGCCAACAGGTACATTTGGAACCCCTCCGCTCTGACCAATAGGGAGCAGCTGGGGGTGAGACATAACCCCTGCTCCTTTCACTCCCTAAATAAAGAAAACAATTCTTATCCGACCAAAGTGTACATTCACACAACACTTATTTTTTGTACTGAACATCAAAGGTTTCAAATGAGCAAGAATGGTGGTGTCTCAGCAGCTGGGGATGTATGGCAATAGAAAAAAAGATTATGAACATGCAAAGTATAAAACTGTTTTCTGAAATAGAAGTACTTACAGATGTGCCAGTGGGGTAGCTGGTTTGAGCATGAGCACATTGGTTCCCTGTCTCGGGTACAGAAAAAGCTTGGCTTTGGCTACTGACAGCAGGAAGACTCTCACCCTCTGAATATGGAAAAGCGGAATGCCAAATCAACATTACATAGAATATTAGCTAAAAGTGCCTGTTAGATCCTATTCATAAATTGTGATTCAAATTTAATTGTGCACCTGTGAGGCCCAATGCAGTGCCTTGTTGTTGGACATGTTGGTCCACTTCTGGCAGCTCCTCTGCCTCCCCATGACCCCCAGCAGCTGCAGCAGCTCCTGTACCCTGTGAGGAGGTGGTGCCAGAAGGCTGGACATAAGAAAAGGAGGAGGTTAGGACCGAGGAGTCACGGCGCTCATCCAAACTTTGTTGTTGTTGTTGTTGCTGCTGGAGGAGCTGCTGTTGCCGCCTTTCACGGGACTTCTTAATTAGAGTAACCCTGTCTCTGATGGACTTCCCCACCACCTTAGCATCACTTTCATGGAAAAAGCCAGACTTCACCTATAAAGAGGCAATAGAATTGGAGCATGAGTAAAAATGATAAAAGATGAACAGGAGGGAGAACAGAAATTATGTCTAAGGGATAGTTCACCCCAAAATTTTGTCATTATTTACAGTCAACAATATAATAACTACAACATAATAAATACAAACAAAACTTTATACACAAACAAAATTTTATACACACAATTCTATAAAATATTAATTAAATGTACTCGTGAAAAAAAAAATTGTAAAAGTTTTTATTTCTGGGTCCATCTTACAAAATAAGCCCCTCAAATGTTTGTCCTGATAAAAACTGTCATCTCATGACATTAAAAATTGGGGCGGAAAAAACTGTTTTATAAACAGGTTAGTGCTACAGTAATAACATTTTTGGGTGAACTGTTCCTTTAAAAAAATGAATCACAATAAATAGCACAAATTATAGTTTATTATTTCTGTTTTTATAGACTTATAATACATTCTTCTTGTCCTCTTATACGTTTCTCACCATCTCTAGTGCAACCTCTTCAGCACTATCATTCTCCAAGTCGTAACTGAACTCGATGGCCTCGTTGTCCTTGTGCTTGCCTTTGAGTTTCTTTGGCTCTTCAACCCAGATACGCAGGGCCAAGCAGTCTTTGCAGCCTGTATCTTCCTCAGCAAGCTCCACACGCACACCGGTGTCCTCCGCAAAGAAGGCATGATTTAGAAGGTCCTTCACTGAGAGCCTGAGGGTGAAAAGAGAGAATTTAGATGACTTTGCAATCTCACTTCACTACAGAAGAACTCCCACTGTTTATGTGCTTACCGTTCTAATCGGTTTTGGCGAATACAGCCCTCAATGATTTCCTTTACCTCAGGGTCATTTACTTTGTCAAAACTGGCAGGCTTGATACCCTGCACAAAGAGAAAATGTAGTGTGTTAATCCCCCACATGATTCACAAAACACCTGGATGTCATGTGCATACTGATTTAACTAATAATAAAAGATAAAAAGGGTGAATTCACTAAAACTAATTGTGCCCACTGACAGTGAAATTTATTTGCACATGCCTAAACATCTTTGCTAAACAATTTGCATGGGTCAGTTCCCAAAAGTGCAGGCTGGTTTTGAGTGTCAAATTGTAGACCACCGTAATATGCCATACTTTACTTGGCGTGTACACCACTGTAGCACCACTGTAATCTGGGCACCTGAACTGGCTCTTTAAAATGCCAAAAGTACACTGGACTACACCAAGTGTCAGAATAAATGCTCAACATAATTTAGTGAATTCACCCGATAATAATCTACAAATTGAGATTTATAAAAAGACTTACACTAGTGACTTTGCGGTAGATCTGTGCAGCGTTTTGGCATTCTGAATATGGGTACTCTGAGGTAGCCATTTCTAGCATGCACATGCCAAAGGCATAGACATCCACTGACTCGTCATAGTGCTCCTCGTACATCTCTGGGGCCATGAACTCTGGTGTACCTGAGAAATCAATGCAACATTAATTTGACATCCTGTCTCTTTTGACATCTGTCTGCCATTTTTGCTATGTTTATCTTCTGTTGCTATGGTAAAAACAAAAGTCTGTTAAACTAATTTCTTCTTTTCTCCTTGACAACAGCCAATCAATGTGCAAGTAGTTAATTAAAACTAAATTATAACAATAACCTTGAAGTCTGAAGCCTATAAATGTGCACCATCAATGTGTGTTTTTTTAACGTATCACAAGGGCAACAAGTTCAAACGATTTTCCTCAGATTCAACTGCAAACCACACGTATATCATATGCGAAGCAATCAAGAAGCCCCTTAACCAATTGTATCCCTTATTCTGGCTTGATCTCGAAACTTCTGGGATTCTAATGAAGGATTTCAGCCACTGCAAGCAGAAATCATCATCTATGCAGCACCCTGGTGCTTTCACAGATCTTGCTAATCATGATACCCTTTGCAGCAACCTCTACCTTAGTAAGACTTGCAATAATTGTATCATTTCCAAGTATGCTGCTGCTGGGAGCTTTCAGGTTTACCTTATTAAAGAGAACAGTAATATAGATGGAAGTTCTGTTTCCTTTTTATGTTTGAACTAATTTGAAATCTGCCATGCTAACTTTCCTCTCAGCAAATATATATTTTTTTAAAAATCAATAGGTATTAATGTTTTTGTGTGCACACATTGCTGTCAATAATGTGGAACAGTGAGCAGTGCCCTTTAGTGTGCTCCAGTGTGGCAATACAAGTTGAGACCGAGGAAGCAAGAAGAGACCTTTTCTTGGATCCTTGAAAGACACCATAATTACAGCCACTAGTGTGGAAGACCTGCACCCCATTCAGAACAAGCATTTAACCAGAATGCTATAAAGAGGTCAATCACATATTCAAGAATATTCAACATATTCTTTTACTACACACAGGAAACTGAATGAAAGTTACAGACCTATGACACTCTTGGCAAATGATGTCCGCATGAGGGTGGCAAGGCCTAGGTCACCAATCTTTACTGAACCGGTCGGGCCTGTGATGAAGATATTGTCACACTTGAGATCACGGTGCACAATGGGTGGCATACGGGTGTGTAGGAACTGTAGACCCTTTAGGATTTGCCTGCACCAGCTGCGTAGAACCTTGGGCTTCATCACTTTAAAGCGCTTAAGGTACCTAAAGCAGAGAAAAGCAGTCGCAAGTTTCTCATGAAGACGTTTTCACCCTTACTTGATGATGATAAAATGTATGAATCTTAACAGCAACAGCCTGAATGGGCCAAAAACTAAGAGAGTAACATTTTGCAGCATATAGCAGCAAACAATCTGTTAAGTCGGCCACATATTAAGACAGATTTACAGATTTAATCAAAAACTGATGGCATATGATGCAACACATTAATCACTTACAGCTATTGTACCAATCTATTACTATTTTTCAAACAAATATTGATACATATTTATATAGGTGTATTATTTATACATGTATTATTTATTTCAATATTAAAAAACAATGAAAAACATTAAATAAAATCTAAAACGTAATGATACACACGTTTTGAGCGTTCCTGAGGTCATGAGCTCAGTCACCAGGACGATGCACTTCTTGCCTCTAAGAACAGACTCCCAGGAGTCATAGAAACGCACAATGTTGGGATGTTGTAGACCCTTCAGCATTTCAGCCTCCTCTTTAAACCGCTGCTGCTCCGCTTTGGTCAGCTTTCGATCCTGACAAATAAACAAACACAAAACATTAAATACTGAAGTATATATATATATATATATATATGTAAAATGCAGTCTGTAATGCTTTAAAATGTCCTTTCAGACTGTTTAACTCTGACATATCTAAATTTTTACTTCACAATAAAAGCTTAAGATCTGGAAAAAAAATCCCACTGACTGGGATGGAGAGCGAAAACAAAAGTATGCAGACATTTACAAGTATAATTATTGTATTTCTATGCAAAATTGACATAGGAAATGGAACAGATCTTGCTTCAACATCCTCTCTATGAAAGATATAATCATTTTCACACCCAAAAGTGCCCTCGACTGTCCTATTAATCATGTTAATGACCAAGTCATAAATATTACTAACTAGTCTGTGATTTTATATAAATGTGATTTAAATTCACAGCATAAATTATATTGTATTGCCTCATTAATTATAAATGTCAGCATACCATGACAGCACAGGCAGCACACTTCCAGCCACTTGCTGCTGAGAGAAAATGAGTTCCCCTTTAAAAAATGTGCTGCGAGAGAGGAATGTTCAAAGCTTTGTATTCATTCAGTTTTACTGCAAGAATGTAACCCTTCCAAACACAGAAATCAGCAAATCTGCCATCTTTTGTGGTTTCAATACAGCACTGTGGCAGGTGGGGTGGCGGGAGAGATATTTGGAGGTGTTCAGCAACGGCTGATCACAGCAAAACGCTTGGTTCAGCATGGGCACATGCACTCAGCACAGACTCAGAGACAGTGCACTAGCGATCAACGGCCACCTGTTGGCGCTGGCAAAAAGGAGATGTGTGACAGGGTGGCAACACCCAGCATTAGCCTAAAAATCCCATTTCAGCCACAGCGGCCACCATGACCAGATTGCCCCAGTGTGGCGGATGTTGATTAAATCCCGCCTCTTGCACACAGTGGGGAAAATGCCACAGTGCCAACACCAAGCACACACACTCAAACACTCCACATATACATATATATATATATATATATACACATATACACA